GACGAGTGTTTGTGGAGGGAGGGTTTATGTCAGAGTTAAGTGTTCTATGTATGTAGTAGGTGCAGTTATTAAGTATGGATGTTTTGTTTTTGTGAGTAGGTTTAGAGTTTTGAATATTGGTGGAGTTGTGCTTATCTGTTTAGTGGAATTTGTTATCATTCTGGACTGCAGCCTTTTGTTGGGTGATGTAGTGGTCTAGAGATGGTTTATTGTTGTGAGCCCCATGCCTCAAATTCCATAGGTGAGATAGGGTAAAATAGGTGTGTGATATAGGGCCAGGAGGGCTGGACTGTGGAACATAAGTTACCATATCTTCACGATTAGTATGCTACGGTCTTGGAATTTTTTTTGAAATTTGTTGTTAATATGTGTGTTGAAAATTTGAGTTATTATCCAACAAGTGGATTCCTGTAAGATTTCCCTCTTGTGTAGTTTTGTGATATGGTGTATCCATTTATCTTTATGTTAAGAGACCATCTGTAGCTTGTTACCAACTGATAATGTAGTAGGAGGGTTTGTATGAGGCACTGGCCACGTGGAAAATATTGGGTTTCTCTTGCAACGAGGTGTGCAATCTGAACGTGACCGAGCACATGCCACCACCACCCAAGAGGTACAAGGTTTGAGGAATCATCAGGATTTTCTGCATATTTTCAATATCTGGTCATTGCTTTTCGGTCACAATCAATCAAAGCCATAGATTATTCTTCTTTGACACTTCCATCAGAGTTTAGAACTATCAGTTAGGAAGAGTAGAGTCCCAATTCGCCTCGGAGTGAGAGCTACCTTGCGGCAAGGCAGGGATGAAAAAAGGTTACTGATGGCGGCATTCCCACAATGTCCATGCAGGCACCATAGAATGTTTGTTTATGGTGCGCGCACACACCACGCAGACCCGTTCTCTCAGATGTAGGCCTACCAGCCTTCATGCACTAAATTTGATGCCGCTAGAATTTTGGCATAGATCTACGGTTTGGACCCTCAACATATAGCTGTAGATCTATGGCACGGACCCTGAAAGGGTTAATGTGCCAAGGTTGCTGATTTTGTCATGGAAAATTTTGTTGGGTTGGTTATGTTCATGCAACTTTTGATTGTCAAGACTGAACTGAAGACTGTTGAGTACAGAAAATATTTCTTTATTGCTCTTAGTCAGTCTACTGTCACAATCACATAAGGGCTCCATTGTAGTTTTCTAAGTTTCTTTTTCTTGGATGACTTATCACTATTGTCATGCTTCCCTCCTTCAGAGATTCTCTTATCACATCAGAAAAGGTTACTTGTCTTGTATCATTGGTGCAAGGTCTCATGTAGGAAGACATTTTCAGAATATATGATACACTTTCGATGTTATTCTTAGCCAAATGTGAAGCCCCATCTTTCCCTGATGGTTATTTCTGGCCTCTTATCACAACCCAAATTCAAAATAAAGGCTGTAGCCAGGATAAGATTGTCGCCTTTGCACTATTATGGGGGATGAGCCAGGAATTAGATCTGATCTTTTATCTGTCAAAGACTGCATGTCTAAATTCTGCTTTCTTCTAATAATATGTTATCATTTTCTTTGCCTTATCCAAATCTAAAACCTATTCAGCAGCCTTTTTCTCTGAGTATCAGTGATATACAGAGCGTCCAGAATTAAAATGTTTTCATACAGTGATTGTTGCCTTGACTGCCACATACTGAGCCCTCTTTACTGTGATGTAAACCACTCCAGGGCTTAAAGTCTTGCTGTCAATAATCCTTTTGTGCACAAGCTACATCAGCCATACAAGGAGTCCACTTGTAGAGATAGTTTGCTACCTAGTGGATATATTGGTTATTCATTGAAAATACAGTAGTGTTTCAGGTTTAGATTATATTACATTATCATATGGAGTGCTAAATCTGTAGGAGTCATAGAGCATCTAGGATCAGGGTCCAATCCGTGGATCAAGAATCCCTACACTGGCACTCAAGGCACCTATCTTAAGGGGTTCCATCCAGTCTGGAGTAAATGGTATTGTGAAATAGTAAATCATTGGAAAGATTGAGCATTAATCTTACTGATTTCAGATCTGGGAGTGTGACTTCTTGATTAATGACTGATGGTGATGGTTCTGATGAGGGCTCGCATTGCAATAATAAATATCGTGAGTGTCACTTTGTTGATGAATTCAACTGTACTAATGCCAGTGTGTTCGGGAAGACCTATTATTTGTGATGGAAGAAGATGATTTGTGTGATATAACTTGATGAAGCTTGGATGTGTGGTGAGTCAATACTTTTCCATTATTAATACACTATGCATTAAACTAGTAATGTTTAATATTTATCCACAATGAGACTTGTCTATTCAGATGTAATTAGATTAAAGCAGTAATCTATATACATTTAACCATTTTTGTAATTTTGGGTTCTGAGACTTATCATTATTATTTAAAAAATATTCAAACTTGGTAGCCTTCAGTTTATGCATAAGAATTTGGAAGCAACTTGATAAATTTTGCCAAAGTATTATGAGCATATTATTTTCATGCTTAATAAATTATATTGCACTCTGACATTGTTACCATTATGTTGCTTCAATAATAGTATTTGTAATCAGTTAATATACTATTCAAATATTATCTTTAAATTCATATTAAAATAAATTAATAAAAATATTTGTGTCTATAGAATAAAGTTGAAATGTGAAACATAAATAAGGAGTAAGGTGATGAGAGTATCAAACTAAGTTAAGGTAAAAAAATTTGGTATTAAGTATGGGAAGAACGTGGAATGTGTTCATATACGTATTTGGGAGTAGACTTGTTGGCGGTTTGGATTTATGAAGAATGACGGGTAAACTATAGATATTGTATTAAAGGAAAAAAGGTTAGATGGTGCTCTTGAGTATTTGTTGGGGACAAATCAAATGTTTATTCTTATAAGGGTCATACAATGTGGGTGTTTACCGGATTTGGATATTGTGTGGTTTACTTAGTTATAATAAAATACTTATTACAGAGGGGGCCCACTAGGAAACCTAGCATGGCTAGGCTTTTCTGGCAGACTTTGAGATTAATTCTTAACATTAAAACGCCTTACAGATTATGGTATTAAGGACTAGAGTGACTACATTATAATTTGTGAGTTTAGCAATGTGACTGCTTTGGTTTTAGCACAACAACAAAGTGTCTATAATTGGAGTATCATAGGCAAACTTCGCGCTAGTTAGGATTCATTTAATTTTATGATTAAGATTGTAATTTCTGTGTTAATAGTCAGTGGGTAGTAGTGTAATGTGAAATCAGCCAGGTGGTTATCATCGTAGTTAGTTGTCAGGGTTGTATCAGGGTGAGTTAACATGTTTTCTTAACTGTAGTTTTGAAAGTTATGAGTGTGGTCTGACATGTTCTAGAGTTTTTCAGGTTAGGGTGTTCCAGATTTTGGTCCTTTGAAATACATTGATTTTTTGTAAAGGTTTAGTCGGGAACACGAGGGAATGTATAGAGATGTTTTGTATTGGTGGTATGCCTGTGGATCCTCGTTCAAACTATCAAGAAAGCATTTTAGGTCAGGTTAATTGGTAATTTAAGGTCCTGTAGTTATAGAATGTACAGTAGGTATGTGTGGTGTCGAACAGGGAAGTAAGTTTAGATCTATGAAGAGTGGGGGGGGTGTTGCAGGGATTGGGATTTAGTTATTATTCTTTTGCGGCTTTTTGTGGGTTATTATTGGCTTTAGGTTGTGTTGCTGCAGTTGAAACCCCAAGCAACAGATAGCATAAGTGAGGTATGGATATATGAAGTCAGCGAATGGTATAGTGTGAGAAGGGCAGTTTGCGGCACGTAGTATCGTATCTTGGAGAGGATCCCCACCGTTTTGGATACTTCTTTTGTTATGTGTTGGATATGGGTGCTGAAATTTAGGTTGTTGTCGAGGTATAGGCCAAGGAATTTGCCCTCTTATGTCTGGCAATTAGAGTGTTGTCGATCTTAATGTTAAGTTGCGCAACACCTGCTCTGCTACCAAACATAATATAGTAGGTTTTGTCAGTGTTAAGTGTAAGTTTATTGGCTGTCATCCAAGTCGATATTTTGAGCAGCTCCTCGTTAACAATGGTGTTGAGGGTGGCAAGATTAGGGTGGGAGATGACATAAGTCGTGTTGTGGAGGCAAAGGAAATGTATGAGAGTATAGTGGTACCAACACTTTTATATGGGTGTGAAACATGGGTTGTAAATGTTGCAGCGAGGAGGAGGCTGGTAGCAGTGGAGACATTATGTCTAAGGGCAATGTGTGATGTAAAGATTATGCAGAGAATTTGTAGTGTGGAAATTAGGAGGAGGCGTGGGTTACTATTATTCAGGGGGCTGAGGAGGGGTTGTTGAGGTAGTTTGGTTATTTAGAGAGGATGGAGAAAAATAGGATAATTTGGAGGGTGTATAGTTATGTAGAGAAGTGAAGGAAGGGTTGGGGTCGTCCTAGGAAGGAGGTAAAAGAGGTTTTGTGTGCAAGTGGCATTGACATATAGCAGTCTTTTGTGAGCATGTTAGATAGGAATGAGTGGAGACAAATGATTTTTTTAGGATTTGATGGGTTGAGCGTGAGCAGGGTAATATTTCGTGAAGTGATTCAGGGAAACCAGTTAGCCGGACTCGAGTCCATGAGGTGGGAAGTACAATGCCTGCACTGTTTAGGAAGGGTTTGGGATATTAGCTGTTTAGAATGACATCTAAAATGTTGTATCTGTGCACCTCTGCAAAGACAGTGATAGTGTGAATGATGGTTAAAGTGTGTTCTTTTTTTGAGGTCACCCTGCCTTGGTGGGAGACAGCCAGCATATTAAAAAAATTATTATGAGGAATTTAATATGCAGTAACACATAACATACTTTAATATTTAATAAATCTATTTTTGTTTTACACATAATTTTACTGTGCAAGTGATTGACTATTCAGCATACTTTTTATCAATCCTAAATGGTTATTGTTATCATAGTTTAATATAGAGATACTCTTCACTGTATCATAACAAATATTTTATTTTATTTTCAACAGCACCAGGGAAAAAGTGTGAACCTGGACAATTCCAGTGTAAAAATGGAGAGTGCATAGAAATGAAGCTGGTGTGCAACAAAGTTAGTGAATGCTCTGATGATTCTGATGAGCCACTTCACTGCAATGTTGATGAATGTGCCAAGGTGGAACTGCATCAATGTGGACATAAATGTATTAATACCATCATAGGATTTGAATGTGCTTGTAACACAGGATACAAGTAAGAACTTTTGTCTTTCAATTTTGTTAGTTCTTAATGTTCTCAAGTCTTTTAATGCATTTAAATTCTGTATCTTTACATATGTACAACAGTTTTAAAATTCATGTTTTTTTTTTTTTTACAGGTTAATGCCAGATGGCAAAGCATGTGAGGATGTGAATGAATGCACAGAGGTCCCTGGTGTATGTTCACAAAAGTGCTTCAACACTCCAGGCTCTTACAACTGCAAGTGTTGAAGAAACATACTATGAACGAGAACCAGATGGTTAAAACATGCAAACGTCTAGATAAGACAGTTCCTTGGTTGTTCTTCACTAATAAATACTATGTGAGAAGGCTGACTACTGATGGCTCACAGTATTTGCTAATGCATCAAGATCTTAGAAATGTTGTTGCTCTAGATTTTGACAACAAAGAAGAGATGTTGTACTTCGCAGATGTTACTGCAAAGACTATATACAGAGGTAATATTAATGGTACCGAGAAAGAAAGAAAATTATTAAGCATGATAGTCATGGCCTTGAAGGCCTAGCAGTAGATTGGATTGGTCGAAAAATTTATTGGTTGGACAGACATAGTAAACAGCTAGATGTAGCAGAACTTAATGGCACTAATCGCAAAACTTTGAAAGCCAGTGGAATTAATGATCCAAGAGCAGTAGCAATTCATCCTGGTATTGGCTATGTATACTTCACTGACTGGCATCTTCAAACCTACATAGGTCGTATTGGAATGGATGGGTCAAACTTTTCTCGTATTCTTAGCTTTGATGATAAGGTGATATGGCCAAATGCCCTCACTTTTGACATTTTACTGACAGAATTTATTGGGCTGATGCTCATCTTGATTACATAGCATATGCAGATCTCGATGGTAAAAATCGTCATGAGATCATAAGTGGTGCTAAAGTGCCTCATGTTTTTGCCATCACTGTGTTCGATGATTATATGTACTGGACAGACTGGAATTGAAGGCAATACTGAAAGCTAACAAGTTTTACTGGTGAAGGCCTCCAGTTCCTGCGTAACACCACTCACCGACCATATGACATACATATGTACCATCCTCTACGTCAGCTACCATATGACAACCCTTGTGGTGATAACAATGGTGGCTGCTCGCATTTATGCCTACTCTCACCCACTGTAAATGGAGTATCATACACCTGTGCTTGCCCAGACCAGTTCTACCTAGAGCGAAACAACAAAACTTGCATTGCCAACTGCACTCGGGGACAGTACCGCTGTTCAGGAGCAGACGACAAGTGTATTCCTAAATACTGGAGGTAAGTGAGAAAATATAATAATTCAGTTACCAAAGTATCTATATTGCTTTAATATTTAGTTATAGACTTCTTCTTTCTTTCAGCAAACCAGCCGTATCCCACCGAGGCAGGGTGGCTCAAAAAGAAAAATGAAAGTTTCTCTTTTTAAATTTAGTAATTTATACAGGAGAAGGGGTTACTAGCCCTTGCTCCTGGCATTTTAGTCATCTCTTACAACACGCATGGCTTACAGAGGAAGAATTCTGTTCCACTTCCCCATGGAGATAAGAGGAAATAAACAAGAACAAGAACTAGTAAGAAAATAGAAGAAAACCCAGAGGGGTGTGTATATATATGCTTGTACATGTATGTGTAGTGCGACCTAAGTGTAAGTAGATGTAGCAAGATGTACCTGAAACCTTGCATGTTTCTGAGACAGAAAAAGACACCAGCAATCCTACCATTCACTTATATATCCATACCTCACCTATGCTATCTGTGCTTGGGGTTCAACTGCAGCAACACACCTAAAGCCAATAATAACCCAACAAAAAGCCGCAGTAAGACTAATCACTAAATCCCATCCCTGGCAACACACCCCCCACTCTTCATAGATCTAAACTTACTCCCTGTTCAGTACATCCACACTTACTACTGTGCAATCTACATCTACAGGACCTTAAATTCCAATATTAACCTTGACCTAAAACGCTTTCTTGATAGTTGTGACAGAACCCACAGGCACAACACCAGACACAGACATCTCTATGACATTCCCCATGTCCGACTAAACCTTTACAAAAATTCAATGTATGTCAAAGGCCCTAAAATCTGGAACACCCTACCTGAAAATTCCAAAACTGCAGACACATTCATCACCTTCAAAACTACCATCAGAAAACATCTTATCTCCCTGATACACCCTGTCAACTAATAATACGAATACCACCTGGTGGTTCACACTTACACTCACTCACCCATTTGACCATAAACAGAAATATCAATCTCAATCTCAAAATAATGAATCTTAACTAGTCATAAGTTGGCCTGTGATACTCCAATACTGAAACTATGTATAGTGCCAAAACAAAAGCATTCACATTGCTAAACTCACAACTAGTATTTAGTCACTTAGCCATAATACCAACTTACCTCATAATTTTGTAATATTTTAAACTTAAGATTTAATATAAGTCTGCCCGAAATGCCTAGCCATGCTAGGTGTTCTAGTGGTACACTCTGTAATTATTATTTTACTACATGTAAACCACACAATAACCAAATTCTGTAAACTCAGCATTGTAATCCTTATAGAGAATAAACTTTGAATTGAATTGAATTGAATTGAATTGAATTATGTAAAACAACTACAGGCTTCCATTTTACACATCACTTGGCAGGACGGTAGTACCTCCCTGGGCGGTTGCTGTTTACCAACTACTACCTAGGTTATATATAGACAGTGTTGCGTAAATCAGGCTGTAGTGCATCATATTCATGTCAACAAATGTTCAAAGTAAATTTTTTTTAACATAAGCATAAACACAGGAATATGTTCACTTTTATTATTCCTAATTATTATGATATTCCATAGGATTTGTTAAGTATTTATGGCATGAGTCTAGGGATCTTCAGTATGAAATATACTCATGGGAAATCATAATAAGAAATTAAATATAATGGTATAATTCAATCCTTTGTGCAGTTCAATTTTAGTATAAATGATGAGGACATTGAAAGACTTCATATAAAATATCTCTTTATATAATGTATATTTACTGTATGATCTTAAGGTATTTTAATGGTACCTTTTACAGTGGACCCCGGTTAACGATATTTTTTCTCTCCAGAAGTATGTTCAGGTGCCAGTACTGACCGAATTTGTTCCGATAAGAAATATTGTGAAGTAGATTAGTCCATTTCAGACCCCCAAACATACACGTACAAACGCACTTACATAAATACACTTACATAATTGGTCGCATTCGGAGGTGATCGTTATGCGGGGTCCACTGTACTTATCAATTAGATACAAACACTTTAACAGACTTATAAATTATATACAGTTTACAATGACCTCCATTCTGGCTGAATGGGTCTTTATACATAAAATTGATAAAGTTATAGTCTCTCTATGCCCAGAGATGATCAAAGTTTCAACCACTTATAATTAGACCAGAATAATTGAAGTCTCTTAAACACAGGAGAGCTTCTGCTAGGTCTCTTACACACAGGAGAGCTTCTGCAAGTACTCACACTTGCTGGAGAATAATGCTATACTGCAGGTAGTTTCTTAATCAAAGTAAATGAGCAGGTAAGGAAGACCTTCTCGAGATAGATGAACAAATATGAAAGTTATATTTTACAAAGCCGCATTTTGGCGTAACACTAATATTATGTTAATGGAAATGGAAATAGGTATTTGTTATAATTAAGTTACATATTTTGGATTTGATTTGCAGGTGGCAGGTAGAGTTATGCTTTTGGTGCCCCAGCTACAGTGTTTAGTTTTCATAAAAAAAATAAAGTTTCCAGTAGTTGTAGCATATACTAATGTCTTTTGGATCCCATTCTGGTAGTCTCCCATATTTGTAAAGAAAGTGTATTTTGTTGCATCCTTTTAGCACTTTTTTTTTTTTTCATTTTTTCAAAATAGCTTAGAATTTGGTCAAAAGGAGCAATGAAATTGGCTTAAAATAGGACTCGGATAGGCAAAATCACAAATGTATAAATTGTGCCCAGATTGCTAACTTTGTGCCTGCATAAGTTTTCCTTAAAATTTTTTACTTTTGGTGTCATTACCTTCCTGAAAAGATTCTTTACCATTTCAGTAGAATTATTTTGAAAAACATGGACACCGAGAGCAATATTAATTTTGGAGGTAAGAACAGTGAATTGCTTAATTAAGAAGTGTAACACCACCTGTAAGTCCTTCATTTTGTCTTTGTCCTCTCCTCAGTATTTGAATCTCTCTACTTCTATTTCCTTTTCACTCATGTGCAGTGTTGAATAACTTACACAGAATCAACACTTTTCACTTAATATTATTTAATTATACAATATTCATCTTAATAATACAGCAGATATATCTCTTGAGGAAAAAAAATTCAACACTGAGCAACAAAACTCTTTATTGAAACTAGTCAGTCTGCTTACCAGGATGGACTGAGGGCAACAGAAGTTATGGGTTATTGGTTGTCAAAGGAAGCATCACAGGGATGAACTAATGTGAATATTTAAAACCCTGACCAAGTTAGATAATACAAATACCAACCACTTCTCAAAGGTCCAATGTGATACATGGAAAAGGCACTAACTTTAACCCTTTCAGGGTCCGTGCCTTAGTTCTACGGCTCTGAAGCCAGTGTCAGTGCGTAGTTCTACACCACAAACTCAGCTTACTCAGATAAGCTATGAGCAGTAAATTTGGGCCTAGATATGAGGAATGGGTCTTATGTGGTAAGTGTGCACCATATAAAAGAAACCCTGCAGCATGCAGTGCATGATGAGGGAAAAAAACTGCGACTGTGTTTTGGTTTAAAACAGTGACTTTGCAGTGTACAGTGGACCCCCGCATACCGTTGGCATCACATACGTTAAATCCGCATAGCGATACATTTTATCACTAAAATTTTGCCTCGCATAGCGCTAAAAAACTCGCTCAACACTATTCGTCGAGACGCGTCTATGTGAGGCCTGAGCCAGCCTCACATGTTCCGCTGGTGGCAATGTTTACAAGCCAGCCTCCGCGGTAACATCCAAGCATACAATCGGAGCATTTCGTATTATTACAGCATTTTTGGTGATTTTATCTGCAAAATAAGTGACCATGGGCCCCAAGAAAGCTTCTAGTGACAACCCTGTGGTAAAAAGGGTGAGAAATATTATCGAAATACTGTGGTACCATGGTCACTCGATTGCTGCTGATGCTGCTGCTGGCTTTAGCACCATCAGCTGCTGCTGTACCACCGTCAGCTGCTGCTGTAGCACCGTCTGCTGCTGCTGTAGCACTGTCAGCCTGTGCTGCTGCACTGTCAGCTGCTGCGTGCTCCTAGCAGCAGCTGCTGCTGCTGCTGTAGCCACTGCGCTGCGCGCTGCTGTCCCCCGCAT